ACAGAGTCTACACAGTCTTCTCATTCCAAATCTCCCATTCTCCCACAACACCGGCTTATTCTCCACTGAAGGCCCCGTGACAGCCACCCCCACCTGTCTCTGCCCTGCTCCCTGGCCCTCTGGCTCCATGAAGTGAGGCCAGTGGGAGGCACTGGTGAGAGAGTGGGAGCGGGAGAGAGAGATTGGAGTATTTACTCCCCCTTCCCGCCTCCCTCCCTGCACACCAGGTTCTCAGTGACTCTGCCAGGCTCTGGGAGCACCACTGCCTCCCTCTCCCCAGTTAGGTGTAGGAATGGGGACAGCTCCCAGGCCACCAGCCCCAGCGTGCTTTGCTCTCCCTCACCTATTTGCTTGACCCCTACATACCTCTATACGTACATAGATCTTTCATTAATTTCTTTCCAGTTAGGCCTTCTTGACTGGGCCATCTGTTTCCTGCCTGTTAAAACCAATAACCCCAAACTTAGGACAAGAACTCCAATTCAACACGTGAGCACGCTGCAACTATTTACCAACATCTTGTCTTCCAGCCAGCGTTCTGCTGCCTGCCACCCTTTGAATGTGCCCTCCTCTCTCCGAAACCTCCTAATCCTGGTCTCTAATGCTCTTAGGGTAGTCTTCTCTCTCCTCCGCAGGTTATTTCTGTCCTGTCTTATCTCCTCCACTGGACTCGGGGATTTGGGAGGAAAAAAGAAAGGGATTGTATTTCACCCTATTGACACAAAAATGGAATCATATTTTGTGTTGTTTCCATTTTTCTTCATACTTGGATATGAAATTTATTAAAATATTTTTAGAACTTTTTTTAGAACTTTCATAGGTGGTTTTAGAACAATCTATGAAACTTTAAGTTTTTAGAACCTCCCTGGATTTCTCACCTTTTGGTTTTCACAGGGAAAGTTCTCCAGCACATGCTGCAGGCCTGCATAGTGTTTCTCACCAGCTGGTGGGGACCGTGTGGCTCCTGGCATTTATTAAAGCTCCTTGGCGGCCAAGTAGAGGCTTTTCTTCATCTAACAGAGCTCTCTGGGTGCTCTTGGGCCTTGAGGCAGTGACTTTGGGGCGTTTCCTCGGATCCTCAGAACAGAACAGCACCTCACATCAAATCATTGTCCACTTGGTGGCAACCAAACTGACTGAGTGCTTGCTGTACACCAGTCACTGTGGGCAGCACTCTTTACATGGTACTTCACTTCAACGGAATCCGACTTAAACATACTCCCCACCCCTCCACCCCAAAGCTGCAGGCAAATTTGTCGGATATCAATAAATAGATCCAAATTCAATCAGAAATGAGTGTTTAATGACATTGCAGTGGAAATGAAGTGGAGCAAAGGTGGGGGGAAGCAAAGGCGTTGGACTTCTAGGGTGGGGAAGGCCTCAGTGGCGGTCTTGAAGCTACTGTCCAGTCCAGGCAGTGGGCAGCCCCTTGCCAGGACAGGTCAGGAGGGGGAATGGCAGCTTGGTGGGCTGGTGACATGGACAGAGTAGGGGGGCTTGTAAGCACACCCCAGGCTGAGGGGGAGACAACAGCCAGAAAGGCAGCAGCAGGTCAGAAAACAATCTGAGATGTCGGGCTAAATCCCAGGAGTGGAATTGGTCTCTTCCAGAAACACCAGGCCCTGGGAGAGAGACTGCCTAAGATGTGACCACTACCCCAGGAAGCTCAGCTGAAAATCCAAGCACCAAGATCGCCGCGATGCCCAGAGAGCCCAGTTGGGCAGGGAGGACTTGAAGAAACCCGAGCCCACGGGTGTCCAGAGAGCCAAGAGAGGGGGCTTTCTGGGTCAGGAAGGCCAAAGCTGCAGCAGGGCGGGTAGCGCAGGGCTGGGACCAGCCTCAGAGGAGACCATGAAGGTGGGGCCACTGGGCCACAGGCATCTTTGAAGATAAGCGAGTGGGAAGAGCTTCCGAGGGTAGACACAGGAAGAGGTGCTGTGGCTGATTCTGGGTCAAGGCCCACGTCCTCTCACTGCCCTGCTTTTATGCATCACTTCTGCTCCCCAGGGTGAGGCAGCAGGACTCTGTGGGTCTGTGGCTGGTGGCTGCAGTGCAGCCTAAGACCTAGGTCCTCTGGGGACCTCTCTGAGCCTCCAGAGAGACATTGGGGGCATAAATGAAACAATTCACTGAACAGAGAAGCCAGACATGGAAAAAGCATTTCTAGAGTACTAGGAGCCATCTCAGAAAAGTGTCCCAGAAGGGTGGGGGTCTGAAGAAAAGGGGTTTTGTGTGATATGTGCAGTACCTTCATGAACGTGGAAGGCGGGGCATCTCAGCAGAGGTAACCCTCAGGCACCTGTGCACACGCTCATACGCGTGCATGCGTGCACACACACGCTATCTCTATATCCCTGTTTTGAATCCTTTATTTTGAGAGCAGGAGCTACATCTGTCTTTAGTGCTCCTGCAAATGCCACAGCGGTCAGGACACCACACAATACATACTGTCTTCTGTGAACATCCCATAACTAACTGTTGGCTAACATTGGTTATGGGATGGCCCTCTCTAATGTGGGCAAATGAAAACCAGTTCCGTGGCCAGTGGGGAACATGTGTGCCAGGTGATGGTGTTGACTCCAATTTCTCTGATTACTTTGTTTTCGAGGTCATGGGATGGTAACTAAGCAGCTTTTCTGCTATCTTGCCCTATACTTTCCCTCAAACTCAAATTGACCTGATAAATACCTAACCTGACATGCGCTGACACTCAATCATGACAGTCAGACCTGTAGTTCCATTAGCCAAATCAGGCACCTCCACCAGAATGTTGCAGACACAGCTTAAACTCAACATGTCCCCAAGTTGCAATCATGCTCCCTCAAAAACTTGCTCTCCGCCTGTGTCCCTTCCTTATCACTGTGTTGCCCCAACTACAAACATGGGCATTAGCCTTTTATCCTCCATTCTGGCTCTGTCCCACCTGAGCGCGTCTACCTCCTGGGTATCTGTGATCCTTCCTCCTGTTCCTACAGTAGAGATGCCTCATGGGCATGCACCTGGACCATAACTAGATCCTGGTTGCTCTCCTGGCCTCCTACCTTTATCCGCACCCCCAACATTCCTGCCATGGATGTCTCTAAAGTGCAAACGTGAGCACGTCACTCCCCAGTTTAATATCCTTCCCTGAATTGCATTCAAAAGAAGACCAATTCCTTGGCAAGACCTACTAGAGTCTTAATCGATAGCCTTTGTTCCTTCAGTCTCCTCTCTGGCCATAACGAACTACTGCTCTGCAGGGCTCTTTCACACTTCCAAGCCAGAACACTCTCACCCCAGCCCTTGCAGACACATCGCATATCACGTCCTTCTGATGGCTAGCTTTCTTCTGTTTCCACCCCCGGGGAAGTGGACAAGGGTAGTGCCTCGTTCACTGTGGAACGCCTTGCACCGTGTTTTGCACACAGTGCCACGCCACAAATGTCTATTGAATGAATGAATGATGTGCAACACTGCATCAGGGACTTTGATGCAAGAATATTGGTGGCATAGATTTGTCTTGGAGAAGCCCTTCAGCCCCCTTAGAGCTCCATGGTCATAAGCTAATAGTTTCAGAACTACTTTTGGATATCGATTTATAAAATTGATAGCATATATTTTATTTTTAAAATGAAACGTTATTAACTAGGGGCATTGCTCTACTCTCCATATTTTTTAACTATTTGTTTTGGAGAAACTATTAACCCACTTCAAAGACTAATCAAGAACCCTTTCTGCCGCACGAACCGTTTGACGCTGCGCAGTCTACCCGCAGATAGTCGTCTAAAGGCGCGCAGGCAGCACTTACTCTCAAGACCTCCCACGACACTCCTCACTTTAAATCTTTTTTTCTTCTTTTAGCCTTCCCATCGCCGAGCAGCACAAAATGACCCAAAATGCTTTGTCTGGCAACTCTCACAAGTGAAAATGCGGGCCTAAGAGAATGCAATGATTTCTGAGTGCCCAGTTAAGACGCAGCTCCTCAGTCATCACGGGTGAGGTACCAACGCTTCTCACAGTGAAATCTGTCCGCTCCTGGAGTCTTGCTACCTAACGCATTTCTGCCATGTCGATTCCCGTCATTGGGGTCTCCAATAGCTTTTGCCACTAGACAGACTGCGGAGGTAGCGTATCAAAAAGTTAACCAAAACTCATCTTCCCCATTGCTATGAGTGTGAGGTGAAAGAAATCACGTGACTCCTGGTCATCATGCAGAGGTTTCCTCACATGGCTCCTGATCAAGCCAAATTAAAGAATAAAATAAAATCCCACTGGCGCAGCTGGAGCCTGATCCGCCAGACCCGGCCTCTGTGGGCGGGGCCAAGGCGAGGAGGCGGGGCGGGCCTCGATGGGGGGCCCACGCGGAAGGGGGCGGGGCCCGGTGGGCGGGGCCAAGCGGGGCCCCGCGAAACTGCCGCTCGTGCAGCTCCCGGGCCCCCTCAGCCACCCCCGTGCGCCGGCGCCTTGGAGGTCAGCGAGCGCTGCGGCGGCGAGGGGCCGGGCCGCACCCTGCCGGCTGCAGAAGTTGTTGTCATCCGTCTCAAACGTGTCTTTTCCACGCCTGGCTTGCCCTCCGCTCTCTCCGTCCCGCACGTCCACCGCAGGCACCGACCTGTCGCCGCAGCTGCCGCCCCACGCCCCCTCCCCAGACCCGGCTCGGCTCTCCCGGCCGCCCCTAGCCGCCGCCGGGCCTGAGGCAGACGCCAGGCGGAGCGCGGCGGCCGAGGGGAGTGGGAACGAGGCCGCGCGCAGGGGCGGGGACGCGGGGGAGCGTTAGGGCACGTGGGGGAGCGTCAGCCAATGGCAGGCCGCTTGGCGGGCGGCGGGGCGGGGTCGGAGCGGGGCGGGGCCGGCGGCGCGGGGGTGGCGGGCGGGGCGGGGGCGGCGGCGGGGCGGGCGGCGGGGCGGGGCGGCCGGGCCGGGGGAGGGGCGGAGAGACGCCGCCGCCGCCGCCGCCGCCGCCGCTGCCGCCGCCGCCGCGGCTGCCGCAGCCTGGGAGCCTGGAAAAGGGGAAGCGCGAGCGAACGAACGGCTCAGTCCCCGGGCGGCGGCGGCGGCCGGGGGGGCGCGACGGCCGGGGCGGGGGCGCTGCTGCTGCGGGGCCCGGCGGCGGGGCGGCGGCGGCGGCCCGCTCCAGCCATGCCGAATAAAAACAAGAAGGAGAAAGTGAGTGCGGGCCCGGGCCGCCGGACGGCCGGGGCGGGAAGGGGAAGGGGCGGCGCGGAGGGCTGCGCGGCGGGACCCCCAGCCCCCGACGCCGGGGTCCGAGGGCGCGGGGGCGCCGCTCCGGGTGGAGGTGGGGCGGGGCGGGTAGCGCCGGGGCCGCGGTGCCCGGGCCGGCCGGGGGTCCTGGCGGCCGGGCCGGCGTGGGGAGGTGGGGGCGGCGTGGGCGCCCGCCCCCGGGCATCGCGTGATGGGGCAGGTGCGGCCGCGGAGGTGGTTGACCCAGCCTCGCACACTAGGCAGGGGCTTCAGGGTGGGGGCCACGGACCCGGAGAGGGGGCCCCGGCCCGGGCAAAAGGGAGCGAATGGACCCGCTTAGCGCTTGGGGAGAACCGCCTGCTCTCGAAGGGACGCTCTGGGTTCTGAAATACTATTATTATCCTGGGTGGCGGCGGCGACGGCTCTGAGTGTGCTGCGTTTGCACGGGAGGGGGTGGGGGGTGGTGGTATGTTTTTGCTTCAGGTGGAGCTCTGTAGCGTTTCAGTATCACCCCAGAAATCCCCACTCGCAGAGTTTAGGGTGGAGGGAAGAAAGGGATGTAATGTGGATCCTTCAAATGCCGAGAGCACTGTATAAATTTGGGTTTATCTGTTCCTGCTTAAAGTTTTCAACGCCAAATACAGATGAAGAAAACAAGGAGAGTCTGAATGGGGGGGGGCTCACGTTGCAATATTGTATCTCTAAGTAAACAATAAGATGTGGAACTTCTTGATGGGATTGATTAAAATGATCAGAAGTCCTGGTTTTGTATAAGTCAGTTTTAAAACTGCATTTTGGTTTATCTGATATCTAGCAGTCTAAAAATTGAGAAGCCTAATTGATGCTGCTTGATGTTTCCCAGGAATCACCAAAAGCAGGGAAAAGTGGAAAAAGTTCGAAAGAAGGCCAAGACGTGGTCGAATCAGAGGTAACTATTTTCAAATCTTCACTTTACGGTTTTTAAGGAACACCTTTTAACAGCATAGAAAAACCGAGGCTGATAAAACTGGGTTTTCTAAAATGTTTCCTTATATGAGATTTTTTTCGTAGTGTCTTTCATAACCCTCAATTGTAGTTATTTAGGTTTTTATTATTCTGCCTTGGGAAAATATGAATGTTTTTATGAAAGTTGTGCATATCTGTGCAGCTGGTATTTTTAAGTTCACTCCCCCCCCCCAAGTCTAGCAGCCCTGTAGACTGGTTTCACAGACTCTCTGGCTGGAGTTGTTCATGTTCCTTTTGAGCTTTCAGATTCTCCCCCTTCCTTCTTTTTGCAAGTGGCCAGGTCCCTCCCTCAGTGGCTCATTTTCCTCCATCACCTTGCTTTCCTCTGTGCAGTCTTTGCTGCTGGTGTCCTGCGGTAGCTCCTTTTCTCTGTTGATGTCTGATCCCCTTAGCCTCTTTCCCCAATAGTGTTGGTATATTTTGGTTTATCTAGTTGGGGTAATTTTGCACAATCGTCTTTCATATTTTTTTCTCTTTCTACCTTGGTCAGTTCTGATTTCTTTTGCTTCTTGACTTTGGGTTCATTGAGGCACAGCTGGAATGCTCAGTGAGGATGGTGTCTGCCTGATGGGGTGGGTGTCGTTCTTGACACAGCGGTACTTTGAGAGGATTCGTAGAGCCAGCACTTTGCTTTGCCTTTTTCCTTGTGACTGGTTGTTGAACTACATCACCTCAGGCCAAGGGCCCGGGCAGGAGCTGGAGACCAGGCAGAGTTAATAGGCCCTTTTGAATCGTTGGTGGTCGGGAAGCTGATGTCAAGTTCTCCAGAGCTGCATCATTGAGGTCCCTGGTCTTACGACAGAGGACATTAATTTGCAAGTGACAGACCCCTTCCTGTAAGCCAAATCAGTATGAGTTCACCTCTGTCTGGGAGACACAGTTAACTGTGAGTATGTTCAGTGGCCCTTTTTTTGCCCCCGGTTATCTTTTCGTTATCATTTGGTGCATTCTGAGTCCCCCTCCTCTTCAGCACGTGGTTCATTCCAGCAAATCTGTTGCCCTTCCAAAAGCAAAAAGCAGAAATCCAGAAGATCCCTTAGATATCGGTAGTGAAGGGTTATTTGTGCCAGCTCTCCCTGCCCTTTGTTCACAGCAGTCAAGCTTTCTTGTTGGCCTCCTTGCTTTTGACTCACTTATTTCTGTGTCACTCTTTTGACTAAATTGATTTAAATGAAATTTAGCCACTCTGCAAAGCTGTATGCTTTTTCTTTTCTTTTCTTTTCCTTTTTTTCTTTTGGTTTATTGATCTTTCATTGAAACTGCTGAGAGTTCAGTGCTCCCCGGAACCTTTCTTGTTCAGGTACTTGTCTCCTTTCACTGTTAGTGTCACAAAGAAATATCAGTGTGTGTGGTTCATTTATTTTAGCAGAAAGAACCTGGCGATAAGGATGGATAATGTTAAGTTTGTGAAAAATCCATCAGTAACTCAAAAATACCAACACCACTAATATGTAAAATGCGTGTTTTTAAGGTGGATTGGGTTCCTAGACTGTCAGTTGCTTAAGACTCGAGGTGTGGCCTGCAGTGTCTGAGTGTGATGCCCTACTTGTCTTTCTGTATTTTTTCTAGCACTACTGTCTAAGACCTGGAGCTACAAAGCTTGAAATTACCACTGAAAAATACTGAAATGTTGGGCCCTTCACTACTTCCTCATAAGGATACCAGAGGCAACATGGCATATTAAGCTTGACACTTGGCAGATCACTGTGTAAATTATTTTGCAGGAATATAAATCGATGCTCGTCGGGTCTCTGAAATTTGAGTTGACTGTTACTTTTTCGTTGTTGTTCCTCTCCCCTCAGTCTTCATCTCGCTTCTTCACTTCTGGTTCTACCCACTTACCAAATATGATTGACTCGTGCAGGTGAATTAAACCATTATTGTGCACTCTTCTCTTCTCCTGTCTCTCAATGTTACATCTCAACTTGAATATTTCAACCTGAACAATTCAAAGAGGTGTGCTATTCCCAGGCTGCTCCTCAAACCTTTTTAATATCTCGTCGCCTTCGCAGTCAGCGTTTGCTCACGTTACCCTGTGAACTCGCCTCTCTTAGGACGGTTATTGCCCGCGGGGCTGCACAGCCTGAGAGAGGTGCAGAACAGGCGCCTGTCCAGGGCAGAGGAGGCGGGCTTGGGAAATAATTCTAACAGAGAAAAGCCTACAGTTGACTTAATTCACTACTTAAGTGTGGGAAGCGTCCTTATACTAAAATCCTGGCTGGTTATAATGTAGGTGCACAGAGAACAAAGGAGCAGGTGGCTTACATTGCAGAACACTTTTTGGTTAGAACAAGGGAACATTTGATGGCGTGGGTTTTTCAGTAAGGAAGATGAAGTCCTGCAGTAAAGGGTAGAGTGGTATAGAGGAAAGTATTTCAGCAGTGGGGGTTAGATAATAAAAATGCTGACTCCTGATGGCCGTGAACGATGTCACCTAGCTTCTGTGTCCCTGTTTCCTCATCTCGAAAATGACTTGGTGAGTTTCAGATTTGGCCATTTTTCGCTATATGGGATAGATTAGGCATGACCCCTCTTTAAAGAAGTTTTCCCTGCAAGATATAAGGCAGGGTATATCTTTCAGTGTAACAGAATACCATTAAAGGTCATTAACTGGTGCTCTGCAACTTTTGCCTTTTTTTAGAAATTTCTACTCCTTGAATGATGTGTATTGGTACATTTTTCTTCTTTTTTCTCTTTCGAATAGAATGTTTAAATTTGACTTGCTTATCCACACATGTCCTAGAAATAAAAGTTTCTGCCCAGGACGTACTGCTGGTTTATTTCACATTTTCAGGAGCGAGGCCACAAATGGGCTTGTGGGTAACTTGAAGTTGGAGAACCCTGGAGATTGACAGAGGGAACTCATCTTTGAGCAGCTGTTCTCAGTGTCACATTCAAATCTGCGGAAACATAACTAGGCACATTTTATGAATATTTAGACTCTTAATAAATTGCTCAGAGATTCCTAAAGTCCATTTTGGAGGATCAGATCACACGATGGTGTTTTTGTTGTTGTTGTTTTTAGTTTGTGTACTGCATCCAAAGTTACGTTTTAAAAACTGTTAATGCTTTTTGTAAAATGATTTGTTTTAAGCACATTAAAGGTTGTTGGATTCGTGTTCTTGGGTCATGTATTTTACATATCCTGCTTCAGCTTAGTTTGGTTTGAAAGTCTCTGCAGCCACTCTTAGGTAATCTCTGTTGCTGAAAGAAAGCTGAACAGTCCTCTCTCCAACTTAGTAGCTTATTTTGACCCCTTCTACCTTAGTAATAACGTCTTTCTCTTTATAATCTCTCCCTTTCCGTTCCACCCCTCTGCCCCCACCCCGTGTTGCAGACGGGCCAGGCTTGCTGAGGTCCCATAGGTGTAGGTGGTGGAGTCATGGTTTAGAAATTAAAACTGAAATTTTTAAAGTATTCATTAATTCATCTAATAACAACACCACCCATTACATGTTAACATAAATAATGTTTTTATGAAAAAATATCTTTTCGAGAACTTTTTTTGGCTTTCTAATCACTTGTCTCTGTAGCAGGAGTTTTAACCTGAGTGAGTTGGAGGAGGGCAGTGAAAGTCGGTTGGTGTGTGTGTTTTCTGGGGAGGCAGCCGTGATTGTCACTTCCTGAGAGGAGAGTCCCCGACTCCCCTCCCCCAGGGCACCAAAAGCCACTGTCTGCAGGCTGAGTTCTGGACTCGGCCGCCCATGCCCCATTTTCCATCCTTCTCTTCCCACCTTTTTCCATACGACCCTAAACTGGACTCCAGTGAAACTCAGAGAGGACCCAAAGGAGTAGTACTTCAAATTATTTTTTGAAATTCATTTGTAATTATTATGGAGGAAATGGAATTTCCTGCTTTTAATTGTCATGCCTGGTTCTCTGTTCCCGGGCACTCCGCATCGTCTTTGCTTAGGGCCCAGGTGTTTAGGAAAGATGGGGGGTCTGCAAAGGGTCATCAGCAGTGGATTGGAAGGCGTTTGAGTTAGGAGGCGGTGCCGAGAGCTTACTGCCCTCAGGGTAATGAGGAAGCGGTGGTTCTTCCCTTGAGCTCTCCCCTTTCTAGTGCCCACTCCTGTCCTCAGGGAGACCTGAGGGCCTCCCACACGAGAGCTCCCCACCAGGCATCCCACCCTCGGCACTGTTGACCTTTGGGGCCAGAGGCTCCCATGGGGCGTCCTGTGGTCCTGTGCGCTGTAGGATGTTTGCCAGCATCCTCGGCCTTCTCCGCTTGATGCCGGTAGCCCTTCACCTCCTGCAGTTGTCACGAGCGCAAGTACCTCCAGACAGTGCCAGATGTCTCCTGGAGGGCAAAATGGCCCCCTGTTGAGACCACCGATCTAGAAAGACCCTTCTACAAAATACGTACATTTGCTTGCAAATCACACCTGGCACATATTCCTCTGAGTGTAATAGCTCCTTCCTTTAGAATAGCAGTGCTCAGGCGAAAGGGGCGCCAGCACCCCTTTACGCTCTTAAAAACTAGAGAGGATCCCGAAGAGCTTTGTTTAGTGGGTTATAGCTGTCTGATACCTTTCATATTGGAGTTAAAACGGAAATATTTTAAGCATTTATTACTTCATCTAATGATAACGGTAATACATCTATTACATGTTAACATAAATACCATATTTTTATGAGAAATAATTATTTACAAAAATTCACTGAGAAAAATGGCATTGCTCTATGTTTTTGCAAATCTCTTAAATGCCTGGCTTGATAGAAGATAGCTGGCTTCTCAAGTCTGCTCCTGCATTCAGTCTGTTTTGATATCACAAGTCTTGTAGCCTGTGAAAAATTGACATAATGATGGTTATAAAGGCAAATCGTGTGTTAGTATTTTCATAAAAACAGCAGACCCAGAAAGGGTCTAAGGGACCCCAGCAAGGGTACCAGACCCCCGCTTTAAGAACCGTTGTAGAATCCTCTTCCCACCGTCTGTACTGTCTGTCTGAATCCTTGCGTCTTTTTAGCTTGAACTCAAGTTCGTTTATTCTGAAATTTAAGGGAAGCTTTTTCTCACTGTCTTGGACCATATTTTTTCCATATTTTAAATTTGAATAGCAGTTATTTGTTCTACTGGCTATTTATCATTTATGCTCCTTTGGACAAGCTGTAGGTACCTGTGACTTGCCTCCCACTCATGATTCAGTCCATGAGGACAGCGTTGGAACTTGACTCTGCTTTGCACTTGCCATATATGTTATAGGACCCAGAGTCAAGAAGTATTGTTGGTGGATTTTAAAAGTGCCCAGGGAGGAGCAGAACTTCAAGTCAATTAGCCTGCTGATTTTCCTGATAACTGTAAATTAGAAAGAACCAAAAAATCTCTTATTAAGAGGCTTATTTCTTTATCGCCTTTTTGATCCTCTAAGGAAATTTTAACTCAGAGTTTTCATTCAGTATAATTTGTTTTAAATCAATAGCATTATACTAAAACAGAAGATTGTGGTCATTAGGTCTGTTTCAAATGTCTTGTGAAAGTTTTAAGAAGAAGAATATTTGTTTTTCTTTTTAGTTTGCTTTTACATACCATCAGAGGTCACTGGTAAAAAATATAGTCTCTTAAGATCTTATTTAAATTAAAGCAATAGGATTTCCATTTCAATATAAGGTTTCAGTATGATCTTTGGTGCTTTATATTTCTTATTTGAAATTCATTTGGGGAATATTTCTCAGTAGTAGAACATACATGTTTTTTTAACATATTTTGTAAGTTAGTTTTGTTTTGAGCATCTCTTGTTCTGTGCAAGCACTGGGAAAGATAAAAAGAATGATATCGTCCTCACCTGTGAAGAACTGTTTTCTGTTACTTCTAAAGCATCACACCTGTTGCTTGTGGACATTGGGTGGCCTGGGGAGTAGCTTGGCCCCCCCGTTGAGTCGTACCACGTGGCCTCTGCATGGATGGGACGAGATGGAGCACATTCTTGTGAAGAGCCAGCTGGTGCTTTGGGTTAGGAAATCAGAAGCTTTAAGCCTCTAAGCAAACACAGGATCATTATTGAATCGTGGAGTTCCAGAAAGCGTGTTGGACCCAGGGTGTGTGTTGTAAGTCAAGCCAGCAGAAAGATCCATCAGCATTGCTCTTCTTCATCAGTAAAAGCTGCAATACATGATACGTAATTCTAGAAGGAGTTCGTCAAGGGAATTATATGAAATAATCTAAAGTTTCCCGGGTCGTGAGAGGAGTGCAGAGTCCCTGTGTTGAAGCAGCTTCGGAATGAATGCAAGCCCATAGCCCTCGGATGATGGTGGAGAGGTCGCCACCTGCATCTGGAGGAGCTGGGTGAGTCAGTCTGCCACCAGAGTGAATCATGGTGATATTTTCCTAAGTAACACGGAAAATTCTTTTGAAAGATTTCAACTATAAAAAGTCTCCAGTGTTTCCTTAAAACATTGGGTACCTGCCGAGGTCAGGGCACAGTGGCGTCTGGTTTGGCACAGCATTCTAGGTAATTATCTTGCATTTTCCTATCAGTGTTGTGTTAAGCAAGGACTTGCCGGCCCTGCTTCTCGGGCAGGTTTGAGATCACTCCTTGCAGGGAAGTGCTGCTTCCCAGATCCAAACAATGGTGTCATCTCCGTTTCCTCCACCTGGGGGAGTAAGAGAACAAGCCTAGAAATCCAACTGTCCAGGGAAAATAATGCTTTATTAGTTTGAGGACATTGGATTTTCCTTCATCTTAGGTATTTTTTTGGAGATGAGGTTTAGCGTGGCTCTGAAGGGGTGTTAGCTCTGACCTAAGGCTGTTGTTGCCCAGTGGGAAAGTCAGAGTACCTGGGAGCTCAGAGGTGTTAGATTTGCGTTGTCCAAGATGTTAGCCATTAGCCACATGTGGCTATTTAAATTAACGAAAATTACACATTAAATTTAGAAATTCAGTTCTTGTGGGCTGGCCCTGTGCCTGGTGGTTAAGTTCAGCATGCTCTGCTTTGGCAGCCTGAGTTCATGGGTTCAGATCCCAGGTGTGGACCTGCACCACTCGTCAGCCATGCTGTGGTGGCGACCCACATACAAAATAGAGGAAGATTGGCACAGATGTTAGCTCACAGCAAATCTTCCTCAAAAAAAAAGAGGAAGATTGGCAACAGATGTTAGCTTGGGGCCAGTCTTCCTCACCAAAAAAAAATAAAATAAAAATTCAGTTCCTCAGTCACACTAGCCACATTGCAAGTGCCCAGGACCCACCAGTGGCTAGTGGCTGCTCTGTTGGACAGCAGATATTGAACATTCCTCACTTCACAGAAGGTTCTGTTGGACAGAGCTGCCTGAGACCCTAGCAGCATTTTCCAAAGGAATTCTAATGTGAGTGTATTTAACTTACTTTAGCTTTGTTAGCTATCACTCTTCTTAGTATGAAATATCAAATTTAAAGGTAAAGAAGGCATAAATTGGTGAAAGAGGAGGATGTGGATACCGTTAGGGAGAAGGGGAAGTGAGAAGACAAGGGAATTCCATGGGGAGGTGGGAAGAAGGCCCTGCTTCCCGCTTGGCCCGGGACCACCTGTGTTCCTGAGACCTACACCTGATGAACAGACAGGAAGTACCCTCTCCCTTGGGAGCAGGCCTCAGGAGACCCAAGGGAAACAACGTCTGTCTCCTCTTTCTTTTTAGACGTTTTATCTTTGTTCTTAGGTCAGAACACACATGGTTAAAAAATTAAAAATCTGTCCTTTCCCGTTTTGCCTAATCCACTGTCGGCCCTGCATCGCAGGCTGGGCTGCAGGTTCTCCACGGTCCAGATCTCGGGGGAGGCAGGAGTGTGTGTGTGTGGAGGGCGGGCCCTGGAGTAAGACGCCCTTTCTGCTCCTGGGAGTGTCCTTCCCGTCTCAGTCATTCTCTTTCACGTTGCCGGCTTCCCTCCAGTTGGTTCGTCGGTTCATGGTCACCCAGCAGGTACATTCAAGATCCTTCTGTGTGCTGAGTGCCAGTGCCGGCGCGGGGGTTCAGCACGGGACACTGCAGGACCCCTGCACTCATGCCGTTGGCTGTCAGTGAGTGCTGAGTGCACTGGTGTCATCTAGAGGCATTGGTGACATTTGGCGTGAGAATGTGTCACGCTTTGCAGAATAATGGCCCTGGGGCTTTCCAAGCCAGTTGCACCATCTGGTTATTGTGATACCAAAACTGTGCTCATACATTTCCAGACACCCTGGTGGGGCAGGACCACCTCTTGCAGCCTCTGTGCTAGAGACCGGGGAGGCTGCTTCAGGTGGTCAGGGACGGCCTCACCAAGCAGAGGACTTTAAAGATGAGACCTGAATGTGAAGAAGGAACCAGTGGTGCAAAGATCTGGAGAAGGGCATTCTAGCCAGAAGCAGCAGCTAGTGCAAAGGCCCTGAGGCAGAAGTAAGCTTCATGTGTCTACCGGAAAGAAGACCAGTTTGTGTGAAGAGAAGTCAGGGTAGGTCAAGCGGGAGGGATGAAGTCGGAGAGATGGGCACTGGCAAGGTCCAGTAGGATCTTGTCAGCAGCCGTCAGCAGGGTTTTGGATTTTTATTCTAAAGATGATGGAAGCCATTGAGGTGTTTGGAGCAGGGAAGTGAGATAATCTGACTTAAGTATTTAAAAAGATCTCAGTAGCTGCTGTGTAGGAAATAGAAGGGGAAGAATTGAAACAACGAGACCACTAGAAGACTCGGTCCTCTCAGATGCCTGGTTGCCATGTCCGCCCATCAGTGATGAGGCCCTAGCCCAGCTGGCCATGGGCTCTGGACTTGGGTGGGCTTGGCAGCTGACCACTTGCGTTTTAGGCCCTGAGCGGAGGGCTGGTTCTTGTGGCTTCTGACTCCTAAAGGCCAGAATGCAGAGAGCTTTGCTCTGAGGGCCAGCTTCACACTGGCAGCCTTAGTTTTTCCTAGACAGTCGGATTTCTTTGGAGAAAGCCTTTCTTCTCTTGGTAAACACCCGGTCCACCAGTCTTGTGCAGACATGCCTCAGTGGCTATGGACAGATCAGTATTCGGACCAAAAATTAATCTTCTTTTCAACCCCACATCTTACTCCCGCCCTTCAGAGTTTCTGAATCCTGAGCCTCCCGGGGACTTTGTGAGGGCAGGTCACCTGCTTTCTTCCTCCAGCCCGAGCCGTCTTCCTGGTTTCCAATCGCAGTTGTCTCTGCCTTGCTTCATCGGCCCCACCCCTCCGTGTGCTTTCTGCTCTCCAGACGTCTGTTGAATGCCCTTGTCCTGGGATGCACCAGTGACTCCCCATGCAGATCTTTTTGTGATTGAAAGTTCTAACTTTCGCCTTCCTTCATTATCACTCGCGCTGGGGCTCAAGAGGTTTGCCAGTTAGTGTGAGTGTATGATCCGCCTTGATCAGCAAAATCTCTTCTGTTTTCGCCTTACTTTCGCCTCTCAGCCAGGAATTGTTGGCCTAGTGTGGGGGTCAGGAAACTTTTTCTATAAGGGGCCGGATAATAAATATTTTAGACTTTGGTGGCCATACAGTCTCTGTCGCAACTACTCAACTCTGCTTTGAGTAGCAAGTGAGCAGCCATGGACAATATGTAAAAAAAATAGACGTAGCTGTGTGCCGATAAAGCTTTATCTACAGAAACAGGCAGGGAGCCATATGCGGCCCATGGGCCATAGCCTGCCTGCCTCTGGCCTAATGGAATCCAAATCAGGTTCAGTACCTACAGAAGCTATTTGGCAAGAGGCTGGGCACTGTTGCTACCCTGCGGGGCTCTGCTCAGGCTCTTTCTTACCTGAAACCAACAGTGGCTATGCTCTGTGAAAGACATATTCCTTTGTTTTTGTCTATTCACAATCTAGAAGCTATTGAGAGACCAGTGATTTGGCCTTGCCCAATTGAACAATTAAGTGTCTTACAGCTAGTTACGATTTTTTAGAATTACAGTGTTTGAATGGAAGGAAGAGGTACTTGTTTAGTATAGTGACCTTTATATGGGAAAACGTCTAGGATTGAGACTTTGTCACAAATCCACTTGCCTATTTTGTTGTTGGAATGAAATGTCTCACAGTTCAGAGAATTTAACAAACAGCCGTATATTTGCTGCCCGGGTTTTTTTTCACTCCGAATATATGGGAGTGTTGCTGCCTGGCTGCATAGGAGGTTGGGGGGTTGGGGATAACCGCTGGGCAGGGGACACTCAGGCTGGCTGCACCTCCTGTTAGAACTGCGACGGGCCACTGCTCCTGAGCATGAAGGGAGCCTCTCGAGTCCTGCTCCCTCTCCCTGCGGAGGAAGAGTCGGGGAGAGACTTCCTTTAGGCAGACGGTGCCCTTGCCCTCTGCACCTCCCTGAGTGTGAGCAGCCTGCAGCGGGGCCAGGCTGGGGCGGGCTCCACCGCCCGGGGCACCAGCACAGGGTCCACACCTGCCTGGGGTTGGTTGCTTCCCCTCCCCTCCTCTAAGACCCCACTGCCGGTGCCTCAAGCATGGTGGCGCCCCGCACTGACAGACCAGCCCTCCTGCAGCGCCCCCGTAGCTCTTCTGTAAAGAGGTCCTGGGAAGGGAAGGGCAGGGAAGGGCAGGGCGCGGCGCCCACTTCCTTCGTTGGCGTGGCTTCAGTTGGAGTCTCTAATAGTGTTTCGGACCGTCCGGAAGCCCCCACGTCCCACGTAGAAAATGCAGCTGCCTCAACCAGTCGGGGGCCCTGTGCTCAGTCAGAAACCTCCAGGGGCTCCCAGCTTTCACTGACTTCCAGTGGAAGGGACAGGCCAGCTATTTTGATCTGGGTTTGATATTAGACACTGAGTTTGATAAATAATTTCCCATCGTTGAGCCAAAAATAAAGAGGCTGAAGTAAATCCTGGGGCATCTCTCACCTCACTGAATGAATAGATAAAAACAAAACGACCCATAACCTCTGTCCCAGGAGTGACAAAAAAGGAAGAATTAAGCCTGGTTTAGATTTTACCCAAGTCAAGTAGCCAAACAATATCATACTAATTTACAGAAACTTCTTGTAATTTCAAGATAGATAATCCGGTTTTTATTTTATGAGTAAACACCTAAAGCAAGGAAGCACACCTGTTGTTTATCACTTACGTTCAGCCAACATTCCTGCCTTCTCGGTGCCAGAGCACAGCCGAGCCTTCAGGAGCGCGCGTGCCCGCTGGCGCTCGCAGCGCCTCACTGTCGGCGACCGTCGGCTCGGCCTCGAGGAGCGGAGGCTAGTGAGAGGGTGGCGCCGCGCAGGAGTGGTGGGTTAAGCACTCGTGGCGTTGAGTCCTCCGTTCCACGCTGATTCCTCCCTTGCTGTGTGCCCGGCGCTGCCCCTGACAGTGGGGTTCATCACTGAAAAAACAGGCCCTTTCAGAGAGCTTCCAGGCTCCTCTTGGAGAGACCCCCATCCCAGTGCCAGGCGAAGAGAGCTGCACAGCCGTATTGAGAGGCCACTGGGGGTCACAGAAGAAGGAAGCTCCTGGTTCTGCTTGGGACGGTTGGGGGAAGTTCCCTGAACAAGCTGAAAATGAAAGACAAAATCTCTTTTTTTTAATATGTGATAAAATACACATAACACAAAATTTACCATTAGTGACATCTAGTACGTTCACAAGTGTTGTGGAACCATCACCACTGTCTAGTTCCAGAAGATTTTCCTCACCCCAAAGGGAAATCCCCTACCCATTAAACAGTCACTCTTCATTACCCCCTACCCCCAGCCCCTGGCAACCTCTAATCTGCCTTCTCTCTCTGGTTTGCCTGTTGTAGATCTTTCATGTAAGTGGAGTCATACAATGTGTGGCCTTTTGTGTTTGGCTTCTTTCACGTTGCATAATATTTTCAAGGTCCATCTATGTTGTAGCTTGTGTCAATACTTCATTCCTTTTTATGGCTGAGTAATATTCTGTTGTTTCGATATACCATACTTTGTTTCATCAGTTGGTGGGCACTTGGGTCATTTCCATCTTTGGCTATCGTGAATAGTACTGCTCTGAATATTGATATACAGGTTTTTTCCCAATGCCTGTTTTCAGCTCTTTTAGGTCTGTGCTTAGGAGAAGGGTTGTTGGGTCACATGGTGATTTTGTTTAACTTGCTGAAGAACTGCCAGACTGTTTTCTGCAGTGGCGACGTCGCTGTGCGTTCTCGTCAGCAGTGTCCAGGCGTTCCGGTTTGTCTGCATCCTCCCTAACACTTGTTTGCCGTTTTTGTAGATTACAGCCACCCTACTGGGTATGCAGTAGTATGTCACTGTGGTTTTTATTTGCATTTCCCTAGTGGCTCAAGATGTTGAACCTCTTTCCATGTGCTTATTGGCCTTTTGTGTATCTTCAGAGAAATGTTTGTTGAAGTCCTTTGCCCATTTTTTAATTGAGTTCTTTGTCTTTCTGTTGTTATTAGAGTTCTTAGTATATTCTAGATACTAGACCTTTATCAGACATATAACTTGCAAGTATTTTCCCCCATTCTGTGGATTGTCTTCACTTTCTGTGTGTCCTTTGATACACAGAAGTTTTTAATGTTTCTGAAGTCTAACTTAATTTTTTTTCTTCTGTTGCTTGTGCTTTTGGTGTTATATCTAAGAAACCATTGTCAAGTCCAAGGTCATGAAGATTTATCTCTATTCTTTTAAGAGTCTTAGGCTTTTAGCTCTTATATTTGGGTCGTTGATCCATTTGAGTTAATTTTTGTGTGTGGTGTGAGGTAGGACTCCAACTTCGTTCTTTCGCTTATGCATATCCACTTGTCCCAGCACCGTTTGTTGAAGAGCCTCTTCTTTTTCCATTGAGTGGTCTTGGCTCTTAATTCTATCCATTGATCTTATGTCTGTCCTTATGCCAGGATATTTTGATGGATGTGCTCTTTTAAAAGATCTTATAAGGCATGTCAGTGTGGGTCTTCTTAAGCAATGTATCACATGGTATCACATAGTCTCTGGCACACAGTCACGGTGGTTGGGTCTTTCCATTACAAAATTACAGAAGGGGGGAATTCTGAAAGACATTGGAGAGTAGAAATGCTCGGGTGTGGGGCACAAGAGAGGTGATGTCTGAAGTCCAGGGACTGAGTGAGGTCCGAGTTTGGCTCCACCACTCATTGCATGATCCGAGAGATGGCCCTGCACCCTGAGCTCGGGTTTCCTCATCTGTAAAGTAAGGGCACTGTGAGAGCACCTGGAGGACTGATGCGGTGGTGTAACAGCCACTCCGAGTGTTCCACTCCGCTCTGCCTCCCCACCAAGGTACAGCTTCGCATGGGGCCACTTCTGTCGCTCCCAGTGCCTGGCTGGGGGTGAGTTGGGGAGTCACGGGGACTGTCAGAGCACCCGTGGAGAATTCTCTGTGGGCACTGCCCCTTTTGGGCTCTAACCATTATATGTCCTGTTGGCCGCTGATGTTTGGAGCTGAGGAGAAAAATGTGTTCAGAATGTCTCCATTTCTCCAGGTCCTCCTCACCTCCCTCCAGAGTGCTTCTTGACAGGTGACCTCATAGTGTCTTCACACACACATAAGCGCGTGCGCACAAACAAAGCCGTCAGACTGAGAGCGGTCCTATCCTGTCAGACCCATCCTTCCTTCCTCTGTGGCTCCCCTGTCAGCAGTGAGCATGTTCAAACCCGTCTCCCAAACAATCAGAGACCCCTCCTCTGACCCTGTTGCCCCCGGTTCCCATGGCCCTTCTTTCTTCCCAACTCCATTTTTCGAAGGTGCTGTGGATACTTGGGTCTTCCTACTTCAGCCTCAGCTTCAAGAGCTTCTCCCGACGCCACTCCACGTACTGACCTCACCAGCCTCCACACCTCCATGTTCCCAAATCCAGCAGAATGTGGCTTTTAGTGGCATTTGACAGGGTTGACCCTCCTTCCTTCCTGAAAGACTTTCTTCCGTTAGCCTCCGTGATGGCACACAGAGCCCTGATCTTCGTCCTGCTTCTCTGGCTGTTTCTCCTGAGCCCCTGGATACCTCCTCCTTCGCCGCCTCTCTCCCCGCTTTACGTGCTTCTACTAGACAGTGCCTTCGTCCTGTGACTTCAGTTGCCACTGAGATACGTTGACTTACAAATTCTCATCTCAAATCAGACGAGCGTTTCCTGAGCACCAGCTGTGTGGCAGCCGGACTGTTCCAGGCTCTGGGACCTGGGCAAAGAAGGCAGAGGAAGACAGGTCACTCACCAGCCTTACTGTCTTCAGGGCGGGGCGGGACAGATGGTAACCAGGAAAATGAAGAAAGGGCACGTTAGCTGTTGATTAGGGGAGCAAAGGGAGGAGAGCAGCGTCATTCTGGAGGAAGTGGGAGAGGAGGCAGTTCAAACTCCTCATCTTGTACGTATTGGAATTGCCGTATCAGTACCTCAGACTCAGCAAATTCACAGTTGAACTTAGTCCTCCCCATTATTCTTTCCCATCTTGGTGACTTGTCCACCATCCGCCTAACTGCGTAAGCCCGAGTCCGGGAGTTCTCATCCCACAGAGCGGCTCTGTCAGCCAGCACTCTGGACTTCACCCCAGGTATCCAATTGTCTGTCTACCTGCCACTGTCCTGGTCCAGGCCAGCGTCTTCATCTCTTGTCCAGACAACTAGAAGGGCCTTCCTATGGATCCTTTGGCGTCCATTCTCCCCTCACTCCAATCCGTAGTCCACACTGGAGCCTGAGGGGCCTGTTGAAAAGGAAGACCTGTTTATGTCGGTGCCCTGCTCAGCCCTTCCACTGGCCTCCAGTTGCCCTTCGGAGAAAGGTCAGACTCTTGAACCTGGGCTAGTTGGCTCTGGGCACCTGGTGCCGCTCCAGCCTTCCAGGGTTCCGGCCTTCCTCTCTTTACTGCGGCCTGCAGCCACGCTGAGCCCCTTGGGCTTTCAGTGACGCCTGCCTGGACACGGCCCCCTGCAGACACGCACATACCCCACTTCTCTCCTGTAGGTCTTCCCACCGTCCTCAGAGAGGCCTTGCTGACCTCGCAGGTTCCTCAGTCTCCTGTGTCTCATGTGGATATGTGAACATAAAATTACAGTTGTGACAGTTACAGAAGAGAAGCATGGGGCTGAGGGAGCACGTGACAGGACATGGGAGCTGACAGCGGTGTGGTGAAGGCCTTGCTCTACATACGGGGAGTGGGGGGCCAGCGGAGCAGGGCTAGAGGCTGCCAGGCCCCATGGGAGGGAGGACGTCTGTGACCAGAGCCTGGGGGCTTTGTAGACCACCCTTAAACTAGAAGGCTGTGAGCCCTGGAAAGTCACCGGGTTGAATTAGCCTGGGGTGATGGGACCAGGTCTTCTTTTCTAGAAGCTCCCTGCCTGACCCAAGGACAGTGCTCTGGAGGGACGCCAGCAGGACCCACAGGAGAGGAGACCTCGGTGGCATGGAGTCAGCAGGTCTCAGGTGTAACTTTTTGTTTTCTCAGCCATAAGAAGCCTCACCTTAATGTGTCTCCCTACAGTGGGCTGTCGTCACTCATGGACTTGACTTTGTTTTATGAGTTTGCCAGATCACCCAATCGTAGTGTTAGATGCTTTGTTGCCTGGGATGTACAGTCCCTTCTCCTGTAGGGGTGGGAGCAGCAGTACAGCTGGTTTTGTTCATGTATGTACCCAGTTGCTCAAGGTGAAGTGTGCATAGCGCTGGATTCGGCATCATAGAAAACTGAAAAGGAGTTGTAAACTTCAGTCTACTAGACACATGTGTATACAACCTAACTTTTAAAACAAGTGCATCTTCTTGGAGTTGCTATTTGAGACTGGAGTAAATCCTGGGGTTTTCTCGGGGCATCTAGAGGAAGCCGAGCAGAAAACTCTGAACTTGGGGAATCCCGTGGAGGAGAGTTATGGACAGGGTTTTAAGGAAGAAAGACCCATGCTTTCACAATCAGGTGGAAAGAATGACAAATGTCAGGGTCAAGGCCCAAGAAAGCACGTTTTGAGGAATAAGCTACAGATTTGGGAGAAAAGGGAACCCAGATCCTCCCTCCTGCTTCAGAATTCCATCTGCGTGCAGTCAGTGTGGCATCTTGGAAAACCCCAAGGATTCTTAAGCACCTAATTAAAAAGTAAAGCAGCTCTTACTTCTTAGTGAAAATTCCATTCAAGGATGAGAGCAAATAGTTGGTGCTTGAGTCGCTGTGTCCTGCTCTCCTTGGCCCTCCTGCGTGGTTAGAGAAGGCTTGGCGGGTTTGTGTTTCCAGCACAAGTTGGATAGGCTTTTGAAAAGAGTGTGTGTGTGGATACAGACTCCATTTCTTTGGGCAGACTGGAGCGGGTGGGAGGAGTGAGGACGCTGCATGAAGAATCTTGACAGTCAGCAGTCACCGCTGCAGCTGTCAGCCGTCACTGCAGAGGGCTGAGCACAGCTGAGCTCCACGGGGCTCCCAGCTCGTCCCCTCAGGCCTGTACGGCCTGGGACGGCCGCCCCCACCCCCTACCCCCGCTGTGCTGCGTGTGCCCTCAACCCACATCCTCTTCTGCTTGAGTATCTGCTCTTCTTCCTCACCTTGCAAGTGCCTGCATGTTGTTGGATGGCCAGCGGTTGTGATGCAGTCTGGAGATGAGCACACTAAATCTGGAACCTGGAGATGAATGCAAGGAGAGAGAAGCGAGAAAGAAGAGCATTTCCTGAGGTGCAAGGAGAAAGTGCTGTTATGTAGCCTTTACTGATTTTTGAGGGCTGAGTGGTGAGCTAGCAGGGACAGCTGTCATTTGTAAGTTCTTCAGCTTTATTAGTTTCCTACTGCTGCTGTACAAATGACCACAAACTTGGTGGCGTAAAAAAACACAAACTGTTCTGGAGGTCAGAAGGCTGAAGCTGGAATTAGGGCACTGGCAGGGCTAGTTCCTTCTGGAAGCTCTAGAGGATAATCCATTTCCTTGCCTTTTCCAGCTTCTAGGGGCTGCCTGCACTCCTTAGCTCATTGCCCCTGTGTCTAAAGCCAGCGGCATAGCGTCTTCCAGTCTCTCTCTCTGACTCTCTGATCTCTGCTTTGTGGTTTCATTGCCTTTTCTTGTCTCATAAAGACCTGTATGATAACAGGGGGTGCAACCTGATAAGCCAGGATCATCTGCCATCCCAGGATCCTTAACCTCATCACTTCTGCAAAGTCCCTTGCCAAGTAAGGAAACACATTCCCAGGTTCCAGGGAGTAGGATGTGGGCGTCTTTGGAGGGTCATTGTCATCAGCCTGTATATATGTCCATCTATGTGGTAAATGTTAGGAAGTCAAGAGTTTGAAGGAGGATGTGAGAATTAGGTAAGGATGTGACTCTCGAAATCTGACATTACTGGCGGTGGGTTGTAGCCTCGGGCTGAGCGACCGTCAGGAATTACGTTGTTCACGGCAGAGCGGAAGAGACTCTCACAGAGTAAAACTTTTATATGTATTTTCCCATATTCTAATTGTGCTATAAAATGTAACCGTTTGACATATTCATTTGTTTTTGTTTTTATTTTGGAAACAGATTTCCAGCAGGAAAAACAGCCTTGCTGCTGTCCCGTCTACAGTATCTAGTAAAATAAAAGTGCCAGTCCCTCAGCCCATAGTGAAGAAAGACAAGCGGCAGAATTCTTCCAGGTTTAGTGTCAGCAATAATAGAGAACTTCAAAAGCTACCATCTTTAAAAGGTAATTTTTACTGTTTGTCTTGTAGAAGTTGAAGTTTTCCCTTTTAGGGGAAGTAGCACCGTTTGGTAGTTTGCTGGCTTCTCATGCCTCTGCTCTGTTTATGTTCCGTGGGGTCATCTTTTCTTCTTTATTGAGTTTCTTTAGACTGGATGCCTCTAACTTGTTTACCCAACTAATATTTCAAATTCCAGAGCTATTTAAGATAAAAGTATAATCGGGAATGTATTATAGATGTAATACACTTTAAAAAAAAGAGGAAAGACTTTAAATGTTTTCATGTTAATTGTAATTAAGCTAGCCAGTTTTTCTTTTCAATAATTCTTCTCTTTCATTTGTCTTAGAATTTAGCAATTGAGAAAGGAGTTACTACAAGTGGAGTAATTGTGAAAGTGTGCTAGAGCCTCTCTGTTTTCTGCTCTTGGAGTGAGCACTGTAACCAGAGTCCCCTGTGGGCTTTCTCCCTGTGAGTCACATGGGGATTACCTCTACCCAGGGCTTTCCTATTTGAGATTAGTCAGGGAACAGTACTCTTTGATTCCAATTTCCACCGAAATGGCGTAGTCGGCCCTTTCTATCTGGGGGTGTTCAGTCCCTAAAAGTGCTCCCCTAGGAGATTTTGAGGTTGAAGTACGTAAAACCTTATCAAGGAAAGTAGGGTAAGGACCCCGAAGTCAAATGTGAACCTCTGAAGACCTTTTATTTACTAAAACATAAGACTAGTGTATTAAAACATCAGACATTTTTCATATGTTAAATTCATAACAGTGGGTCTTTTTTTTTTTTTTTGAGGAAGATTCGCCCTGAGCTAACATCCTTTGCCTCTCCTGCTCTTTTTTTGCTTGAGGAAGATTAGCCCTAAACTAGCATCTGTACCAGTCTTCCTCTACTTTGTATGTGGGATGCCTCCACAGCGTGGCTGATGAGTGGAGTAGGTCTGCACCCGGGATCCAAACCTGTGAACCCCCGGCTGCCGAAGCGGAGTGCATGGAACTTTACCCACTCGGCCATGGGGCTGGCCCCCACAACAGTGGGTCTTTTACAATTAATTTCCATCTCATATAAACTCAGAGCAGAAAGTTGATCGTCTTTACAGGTGTATTCCAGTGCCTTCCACACTGCAGGACAGATAGCAGGAACTCAGTGCAGAAGGGCCAGATGTTCGGGGGAAGGAGTGATGGAGAGCAGGAGGGATGGGTGGAAGGGTGGATGAAGGGAGGGACTTACAGATCATGGATGCGTTTCCTGCCCCTTGCTTGCTGGGAATCCAGGCTCTCTGCTCACTGCACTGTACAGGACTTGTGTCTGGCTTCTATTTGGTTCAGCTTTGTGGCAGGTAATGTGCATACTAAGTCGTTTTTGAGGAGTCTTCCCCTGCCTAATGGTCCATGCCTTTCTGGTGCTACTCCTTCGTTCATCAGATATTGTGTTGAGCACCTACAAACCAGGCCCTGTTCTAGCTACTGGGGGTACAGCATTAAACAAAACCAAGGGCCTGCTCTGCTGGAGCCAACATCCTATTCCAATGGTAGGAGACAGACAGTGAGTGGGGAGAGGAACACACACACATCACTCCCCCTGCCAGTACCCCCGGAGGTTCAGCCGGAATACTTGGGATGTCTGGGCTGGAAAAGGTTTCCTATAACCATTCCTGAGCCTTCACAGTCCAGCCCTGTCCCTACCTAATACCCATCACAGCTGGAGCTTGGCTCCTGCCCCTTAGGGGATGTGCCCCGCCCTCCGTGCACCACGCAGAGCTGGCCCTTCCACTGTTCCCAGGATCAATTCTCTGTTGTGCATCTGCATATCCAGGAGAATTTCACACTGGTCAAGCCATGCCCCTCACTGGTCTTGTTTGATAAATCTTTCTTGGCTATTCTAAAACATTAGTTCTTCTGTATATATGTTCAAATAATTTTGTGTAGTTGAGGAAAAATAGGAATTGATTGGAATTACGTTAAAGATGTGTTAATTTGGGGAAGATTGATACTTTTATGAGACTCTTTTCCCTTCTAGGAAGATAGTAAATCTTCTCCACTTTTCTGGGTGTTGTTTTCTGACTTTTTATAAGATTTTATGATTTTCCTTTGCATTAAATTTATTCCTAAGTGCTTTATAGTTTTTGTTACTCTTATGACTGGGTTATATTTTTTCCATTTCTGCTTCTAATTAGTTCTTGCTAATCTAATGAAAAACTGCTGATTTTTTAATATTAGTCTGTCACCTTACCAAATTTCCTTATTAACCTTAGTAATTTTTTTTACTAGAGTCTGCATATATAGTCTTGTCATTTGTAATTAGAAACTTTTCTCTCTCTTCCAATATTTATACCAGCATATACTAGTTATTTTCATTTTGTTAGCTGGAACCAATAAAACATAGATAACAGGGGAGAACAGGCCCCCTGCTTTCTCCCATTTTGGTGAAGGCCTCAGCATTTCCTTGTTTGATGTGAAAACGGCTCTTGGTTCTGATAGCTCGCCTTTGCCCTGCTGCCGATGTTCCCTGGTCCTCCTCCTCACAGCTCTTCCTGCCTCCCATCCTGGCTGGTTGGTGCCGCGCTCGTGCACTACTGCTGACTTTTATGAGATGCCATATGATTTTTCTCCTTAAGATGTTAATATAATAATTGCTGTGTTGATAGATTTTCTGGTTTTGAACTACCCTTGCATTACTGGGCTAAACCTCAATATGGTTGCAAATGTGACTTTTACACAGTAGTGGGTTCAGTTTGCTGATATTTGTTAGAGTCTTTGCTTCTGTATTTACTACATGAAGCTGGTCTATAGTTTTCTTCCCTTTTTTTGTTCTACTGTATTTTATCAAATCTAAGATGCCCTTTGCGCTCTTTCGTGAGGGTGGTCTGTAGGTTTTTACGCCGCTCTCACGCTGCCGTCTGCTGGCAGGGATTGTAAGACGCACTCAGGTTTCAGCAAAAATCAAATCTCAAAGTCATGACAGAGGGTTACAAGGTTGACTGAGAACTCAGCTGGGCCTGGTGCTTTCCTCAGTGATAAATCTGTAGATTCCTTCCATGTTGGGTCAAGTAAGGGTAGGTCATGTATTAACTTGTACATTATGTTCTTTAATCAGTCTTTTAATTTCTTCCACATCTGTGGTAGTGATGTCTCCCTGTGAGCTCGTTTATTCCTTTGATTATTTTGTTTTCAGTATCGTTAATTTCTACTTCTATCTTTAATTACTCATCTGTTGTATTCTTTACCTCATTTATTAAGTTGTATACAAAGTTCACTTCTTTTTAGTTTGTTTTTAATAATAAAAGAATTTAAAGCTGTGTATTCCTCTGAGTATAACTCCAGCTTCATCCATAGATTTTCTTTCTTCTCTTTTTCAAATCATACCTTTTTTTAGAGTTTTATTGAGGCATAATTTACGTACTGTAAAATTCACTCACTGTAATTGGAAATTTTAATTATTTTAGTAAATGTGTAGAGTTGTGCAACCATCACCACAGTCCGGTTTTGAAATATGTCCATGACCCCCCTAGAAAGTTACCTTGTGCCTGTTTGCTGTCAGTCCCCACTCCCATCCGCAGCTCCAGGCAACCACTGGTCTGCTCTCTGTCTCTCGATGTGCCTTTTCTGGACATATCATATAAATGAAATCGTGCAATATGTAGTCTTTTACATCTGTCTCTTTCACTTAGTATAATGTTTTGAGGTTCATCCACGTTGAGTAGTTTGTTTCTTTTTAATGCTGAATAATATTCTATGAGATGCATATACCACATTTTCTTTATCCGTTGACCAACTGGTGGACATTTGAGTTGTCTTTTGGCTGCTGTGAATAATGCTGCTATCAACATTCACATACGAGTCTTTGCTTGAACGTGTATTTTCATCTCTCTTGGGTAGATACCTAGAAGTGGAATTGCTGGCTTGGATGGTAAGGTTATGTTTAGCTTTTTAAGAAACTGCCAAACTATTTTCCAAAGCCATTACACCATTTTACATTCCTACCAGCAGCGTCTGATAGTTCCAGTGTGTCAGCGTTCTTGCCAATACTTGTTATTGTCTGTCTTTTTGATTATAGCCTTTCTTGTGGGTGTGTAGTGGTATCTCCTTACGGTTTGATTTGCATTTCCCTAATGACTTCAGATGTTAAGCGTCTTTTCGTGTATCTGTTAGCCGTTTGTATACCTTCTTTGATGAAATGTCTGTTCAAACCTTTTGCCTATTTTTAATTGGCTGTCTTATTACTGAATTATAACGATTCTTTATCTTTATGTAATCTGGATAGGAGTCCTTTATCAGATACGTGATTTGCAAATATTTTCTCCCTGTTTGTGTCTTGTCTTTTTATCCTCTTACTGGTGTCTTTGAAGCCCAAAAGTTTGAATTTTGATGAAGTTCATTTTATGTGTTTCTTAAAGATTTTGCTTTTGGTGTTGTATCTCAGAACTCTTTGCTTAACCCAAGGTCACAAAGGTTTTTTTCCTGTGTTTTCTCTAGAAGTATTATAGTTTTAACTCTTATATTTAGGCCTAAGATCTACTTCAAGTTAATTTTGCGTATAATGTGAGATAGAAGTCTAAAATTCATCTTTTTGCATGTGGATATCCAGGTGTCTCAGCACCATTTGTTGCAAGAGCTATTTTTCCCCATGGAGTTGCCCTGGCACCCTTCTCAAAAACCAATTGACTGTAAAGGTAAAGATTAATTTCTGGACTCTCAATTTTATTCCATCAATATACATGCCTACTTTATGCCAGTACCACACTATCTCATTTTTTTAATTTGCATTTCTATGATGAGGTCAGGTACCTTTTAAAATGTTATTGGCCGTTTTTCTTTGGGCTGCCTGACATCATCTTAATTTTTTTAAAGAGTGTTTATTCTGGATATGAACTCTTTGTTGGTTATACGTGTGTTACAGATACCTTTTTCCACTATAGTTTTTCTTGTTCATTTTGGCCCTTCTGCTGAGGTGGTTCAGTTTATAGGTAATTGATGATGGATGAGCTGGGCACCTGTTCGTAGGTT